AACTTTTGTTCTGGGTAGGATCACACTCCCTCAGACAAAGTCATGACTTTTGTACAAATCCATCTTATGCTCCAATTGTACCCATTTGTGCATCAGGAGATACTGCACTGATCACTCATGAGTTGATCACTTTTCTTCTCAATTACTGTAACATGCTCTACATGGACCACTCAGAAGTTACAGATGATCAGATGAATGAAAATAAACTATTTATGGGTGCATCTTGATATTCCTTTATGACATTATTTACATCCATTCCTTATTAAGTGACCACAGTGTGCTTCTTAAATCAGAAGCAAAATGTTCATTAAGTGAATTGTTCACTAAACAAACACATGTCTGAGAATATAATTTCTCCCACCCTGCCTGCCTGCTTTCCATGAACCCACCTCTTCCCCATGGCACATGGTCAGGAAGTTTTGTAAATACATTTTGGTTGTATATGTTTTTATATGTTTGATTTTGTTATGTGTTACTTCTTACTATGAATTATATATACTGTCCTAAGTTACATATCAAGTGGGCAGCTAGATAAATTCAATACATGAATAAACGAAGTTAAGAGTAAAAGATAACAGTAAACTTCATGATTATGAGGGCATCTGAAGCCCCAATCCATCAATCCACTGATGTACCATATAGTCCCTACTATATTTATTACAGCATTGCAGTTATTGATGGCACGGTAATTTTACAGATACACTATATGTCTCTAACATATAAGGCATGTCCATTTATATTCTGAATGAATCAGATATAAGAGTGCATAGTGATTTTTAGAAGACAGGCTAATTTATAGAAAATTGCTCCTACTTCAACTGAGCCAAGATAGTCCAAGATAGTCTAAAAATCCTAAGACTGGGTAACTACCTATAAAAAAGCTGCTTTGATTTTCAAAGTAATGCCATTTCTCTCTTTCTGCTTTTTAAAGGGACATGTGGCAAGAAAGATCTATGACCTAGAATTATAGGTCATTAACCTAAGACATCTCTTTATGCCTTTGGGGAATGTACCCTAAGAAGCTACCACATATACTTTATAATTATCCAGGTAGCAAATAGACCTTGAAGGCTAATGTTTAACAACTTTTTTTTTTAATTTTACTACAGTCCTTAAAAAAAAATTATTAAAAGAAGCATAAATAGGGGAAAAAAAGAAACTAAATAAGCAGAAGAGAGAAAAGATATTGAAAAATTCCTTGCCTTACCCCAACAAGAGTTATTCTCTAATTAATTTAGATTTGCTTCAAAAATAAAATTTATAAATTATATAGAATCAAAATAATCATAAATCTGTTGAAGGTCAGATATTATACCTAAGGAGAGAATTTGTTATTCCATAACAAAAACAAGATGACATTTTATTGATTGGAAGAAGGGTCCAACGTTTATATTTTAAATACTAATTGATGAAAGGAAACACTGGATTAAGTTTGAATCTGCAAGTATTTGGTACCAAGCTTTTCCCAAAATCATGCAGTTGGAAATTATTGTGTTTGTAATACAAAGAAACTGCAGGGCAAGTTTCCTGGGGAAGGCTACTTTTTTTCAATTGAACTCATTCTATAATGTACAATAGTTGCCCCAGAAAGCCATGTCTTTTCAGAATATATTACCTATGTCTACATTAGTGTTTTTAGAACACACAGGCATAATATGCAAAGACCCAGCCCTTTGGAAAAATGCTGAGAAAGGTTGAAGAAAAGAGAAGAAGACGATCTTCATCAAGTCAGATAGACTTGAGTTAGAGTAAGTAATGAGTGCAATGTTGGAAGACCTGAAAGCCAAGTTAGGGAGAGATCATGATGGGGAAAATCTATCTATGTAGTCACTAGGAGTTGAAAAGAACTTGATGGCACATAATCAAGCAAGCAAGCAAATTTAGCTGAATCACAAACCTTACAATCTGCATGAAGTCATTTGTCTCAAAGACAGCCTTTGAAAATCCGATGTCCCCCAGATGTGTTGGATTACATGGTTCATCATTCTATCAGCATGGCCAAACTGCCTGGGAACGAGTGATGTAACAGGAAAGCCCCAAGGTTGTTTTGTTTATTTTACTTTGCACATGTTTGAACGGCCAAAATTGTAAATACTATTCTCTGGGACATACATCTACTGAATTGTTGCTTCAAATAACTGTTCCATATTGCAGTAAAATGGTTTATTTTCTGTATTTTTCCGTCAAATGGTACCCCTTTGATTAAAGGGCACATCTTACGAATAGTAGAAACAATGTTCTGTCATGAGAAAATGAAGCATTTGGACCAAATCATGCAAGACAAAAAAACCCAGAACTGGGCAAATTTCTTCAGAAGTCACAAATGTAATCACAGCAGAAGTATTCATCTGCCACCCAAGTGAGACAAGAGCTTAACTGGCCTGAAATCTAAAATAGCATTGTGGTGAAATTACTCTAGCCAAATTTGTCTCTTGGACATAAAATTGTGGGTGCCTAGGGCTCAGCACTTAAAAAAAACACAATCCAATATTATGCAAATTGAGAATACTGGCATCGATGTATTTAATTTGGATACTTTATTCGTAGCACTAATGTAAATAGACAGCAGGGGAGAGCAGCATGTTGGGAAGCCAAGTAGAAAAGGAAATAAGAAGCAATAGCAATGGAAACTGCACTAAATGAAAACAACAATCTGTTACAATCAGCTCCAGTAATGAAGGAAATGGATTACAGAAAAATCAACTCAGCTCTCCTTTAAGGCCTAAATGGCCAGGCTTAAACTATCATAGTTTGGATAAATTAGAGCGGGAAGGGATCTTGGAGGTCTCCTAATCCAACCCCCTGATCAAGTAGAAGATCCTATATAACTTGAGACAAGTGACTGTCCAGTTTCTTCTTAAAAACCTTCAGTGATGAAGCACCTACAACTTCTGAAGGCAAGCTGTTCCCTTGGTTAATTGTTCTCGCTGTTAGGAACTTTCTCCTTAATTCCAGGTTGCTTCTCTCCTTGATTAGTTTCCATCCGTTGTTTCTTGTCTTGCCTTTTGGTGCTTTGGAAAACAAGTTGACCCCCTCTTCTTTGTGACAGCCCCTCAAACTACAACAGTTATAAGTGTGTTGTTGGAAGCCTTGAAGAACGAGGTTTTTGTCCTGAGAAAATGTATTTATGTACTCACTAAGAATGGACAAGTTGATACTGCATAATCAATTACTCAATGACTGAATTAAATCTCAAATTTCTTTGCCAATATATACTGGTTTGTGCTTTTCCTTTTAACTTCCAGGCTAGAAATTTTTGCAACTTATTAGACTCTATTGGGGTGTATACTCATAGAACAATGATGATTTTATATATACTGACAGGTCTCTGCCTAAACATTCTAACAATATAGTAAATGATTGACTATTGCAGGGAAAAGCTGATTAATCTAACTGATAAATATTTCCTATAATAATTTAGAAACATGCAAATCTAATAATGAAAGCCAGGAAAGTTTCTAACAAAAGCAATGTGCAATTTTAACTGCATTTCAGATTAAGCACACTATACGATAAGCAACTGAATCTTTCACTTTAGTGGCATAATATTCTAAAATTACCAGATACATGGGTTTCATGATATTTAAGAGTTATGGGGAATACACACACACGTATGTATGTATGTATGTATGTATGTATGTATGTATGTATGTTCCACTGAGAACAAAGGAACAAAACAGTGTAATAGATTCGACTGAAAGCAGAAATGCAACAAAAATTCATCCTTTGGTTTCACTAACAAATTAAGACAAAGATGGATGCATTATTTTCATACTCCCAGGACATCATTAAATGTAAAAGAAGCCCAATTCTCATTCCTTCTCTTCACAAGTTTTTAATGCCAATCCGTTTTCAGAAAAACCACACCAACAACAGAAGAGACATCATTACTTATTAAAGTACACATGGATTCTTCAATCCATTTCCTGTGTTTAAAAAAAATCCAGATTATGTGTTTTTCTACAGATTCTTCCTCTAATTTACTTTCCAACAAGCTATTTTAATACAGCAATTCCTAACATACTTTTCATAGGCCATGTTTCATAATATACATTTTGGTGCTATTTTTTCCAGTGATAAATAATTTTGTGTTTTTTTTAATATAAGAATGACAGATATATACATAATTTGAGTGCTGTGATTATCTGTAATGATGGATCATATCATTTTCCTACCATAATCTAAATCAATTGTTGTCTTTCTTATATGCTGATTCCCATTTCTGCAAGGAGAATGTATATTTTCAGGATTATTGTACATGGAGATCTTGCTAATTTCTCATGTGATTAAGAATAAATGTTAATCAATGTTTAAGTGGTTAGTTAAAAAGTACAACATTATAAACTAGGAATGCATGAAACTTCACACACATTTCTGCCACTTTGAGATAATAAGCCATTTTATTACTCGGGGGATTCAAAGCTGAGATAAGAATACATTCTAGTATCCTTTGCTGACATTTGCTAGGTTTGCAATGCAATCCAAAATAAAAGTATTAAGGGGCCTGAATAGGGTAGTACACAAACTCTATCCATGCCTTTACGATGAAAGACAAAGCAACTGCCATTATAAATTAGTAAGAAAACACAATCCAATAAAGAAAAGATTCTTTTTTACAGATTAAAGACCAGAAGAAAAGTATCTGCCAGATCTTTGCCAGTGCAACAAGTTCTGGATCATAGCATACATTACCTGTGAGTGTATCCCTCTCTTACAATTTGCCTTTAATTGTGCATGCTAATATAGGGTGGGAATGAAGGATTATAATCAAGTAAGACCCAAATGTGTCTCTGAATACTGCTGGCTGGGAAAGTTAGCAGAATAGGGCAGAGATTAGTATCTTTGTGGCATTATTTTTACTCTATATACTACTAAAACTCTTGTGTTATTTGTAACCTTCAATTGGGCAAAATGGCATACCATAGGGCAACAGTTTTTAAATCAACATAGTTCAAATGGGCTAATTTAAAGAATGCATCCAAAATGGGCATTGGTCCTACCTTAATGCCGATTCTCAGGGAAGCTGTGGCATCGTCCAAACATGGGTTGCTTCAGTTGGATCTGCCTAGAGACTGAGTCATAGTTTTTTGACCATGCCCCTCACTCCTCCCTTTCAGGCTCAGTTTCGGCGAAGAAAGGCCAGAAGAAGTATTCCAACAGGAACAAACACCGTTGAAGATAGGACCTAAAAAACAAGTCTCCATCTGGAAGAAAAAAAACTCCTTCAACGTTAGAAACAGGAAAGGACAGGCCCTGAGTATAAGGGAGGGGCTGGACAATGCCACAGTTTCCCTGAGAACTGGCATTAAGGTAGGATCAATGCCCATTCTCCAGTGATGGCTGTGGCATCGTCCAGACATGGGACATACCAAAGCTTTTGACAGTCCTAAGGGCGGGGTGCCGAAGGGCCTGGATCGACCCCGACTTGATGCATCCTTCCAAATGATGCTTCTCCAGAAGCAAAAATATCTAATTTATAATGTCGAATGAACGGGGAAGGAGAAGACCAGGTGGTCACCCTGCAGACCTCCTCAAGGGAGGCGTGCGTTGACCAGGCCACTAAGGTAGCCGCACTCCTTGTGGAGTGGGCGGTGATATGCCTGGGAACAGGGAGCGCCTGGTCTTGATAGGCCAAGGTAATACAAGCTCTGATCCAGCGACTTATGGTCAAGGAGGAGATTTTAGATCCTAAAGAATTTGGAAGAAAGGAGACAAATAAGGCCTCAGACTTTCTGGAAGGGGCTGTTTGTTTAATATAAATTTTCAGAGCCCTCTGCGCATCTAGAGAATGTGCCACTTTCGCTCTAACCCGTGAGATGGTCTTAGACAGAAATTACCTCCTGGGCCCTGTGAAAAAAGGAATTTATTTTTGGAATGAATGAAGGGTCTAGACAAAAGACAATGGTGTCTGGATGGAAAATACAGAGGTCCTCCCCGACAGAAAATGCTGCCAGCTCAGATATACGCAGAGCTGACGTTATGGCTACTAGAAAGGCCACTTTCATAATAAGGAAACAAAGGTTGACAGTCTGGAGAGGCTCGAAGGGGGCCCCAGTTAATGCATTAAGCACCTTGGTCAAATCTCAGGTGGATTATCTATGCACAGTCAAGGGCCATACGTAACTAGCACCCCATAAAAAATGTCTGATGACTGGGTGCCTTGTAAGGGGCTCCCCTGCTTTACCTGGCAATACCATGGAAATGGCCACCACGTGCCACCGGATGGTGCTGTGGGCCAGGCCACGATCCAGGCCATTCTGAAGAAACTCAAGTACCTGTGGAATGAAAGCTGAGAGAGGATTAATCTGGTGAGAAGTGCACCACCATCAACCAGGTGGTGTTGTATAGTCTGATCGTGAACTGACCCCTAGAGGCTTGTATGGTACGGATGACCCTGTCAGAGTAATTGTCCTGCCTCAGGAGGGCCCTTTCAAGTGCCAGGTGGTCAGTTGAAGCCACTGAGGCTCCAGATGAATCAGGGCCCCCTGGCGCAGGATGATCCAGTTGAGGGGATCCTTCATGGTCATGAGACGGAGAGGTTGACAAGGTCCGTGAACCATGGTCGACATGGCCAATGAGGGGCCACTAGGATGATCTCTGCCTTGTCGGAGATGACTTTCCGAAGTAATGCCGGTATCAGGGGCAGTGGGGGAAAGGCGTAGGCCGGGGGGGGCATGTGAGCCAGAGGGCATTGAAACACCGTTGCCCCAGATGTTGAGAATCTCAAAAAGAACCAAGGTTGCTGGTGGTTCAGGTTCATCGCAAAGAGGTCGATGTCCGGAGTCCCGAACCTGCTGCATATGTCGAGGAAAATGTCTGCATGGAGCTGCCATTTGGCATTGTCCACTTGAGACCTGCTGAGAAAGTCCGCATGTTCGCAGTCCGTACGATGTGTTCCGCTCGGATGGAGAGGACGTTCTTTTCGGCCCACTGGCCGAGATGAAAGGACTCCTCCATGAGTCTCCTCAAGTGGGTCCCTCCTTGGCGATTGACATGCGCCTTTGTGGCTATGTTGTCTGTTAAAATCAGGCCATGCTGATTCTGTAATGACCATTGAAAGTGACTAAGGCCCAGGTGGATGGCCTTCAACTCTAGCCAGTTGATTGGATTGACAAGTTCCTTGGAGGACCAGCGGCCTTGTGCCACTCGGTAATCGAAGTGGGCTCCCCAGCTGAAGAGGCTGGTGTCCGTCGTGAGAGTAATGCTCTGGTGGGCCGCAAAGAGACATTCTTTGTCTAGAGAAGGCAATGTCCACCAATGAAGAGATCGTCTGACTGAGAGAGGAGCCCTGACCTTGGTCATGCTGTGAGACTGTCGGGTGCGCTGAAAATGTAGGAGGAACCACTGGAGATGCCGAGCATGAAGGCATGCCCAGGGAACGATCTGCACACATGAGACCATCTTGCCAGCAACTTGGACAAGGTGGCCAGGAGAACTGACAGATCCTTGTGAATCTGAGATATCAGCTCCCATATGTCGGTCCTTCTTTCCAGTGACAGGTAGACTGCTCCCTGCGCAGAATCGATGATGGCGCCCAGATGAACAAGTCTGGTGACTGGAGTCAAATGGCTTTTCTTGTAATTAATCAGAAAGCCGTGGTCACTCAAAGTCTGAATCGTGAGATCGAGATCCTACAGGGCTTTGCTCTAGGACGAAGCCTAGATCAAGATATTGTCCAAATATGCCTGGATTCTGACCGGCGAAAGTTGCAGGTGTGCTACTACAGCGGCCAGGATCTTTGTGAAGCACCTTGGGGCCGAGGCCACAAAGAGAGCCAAGGGGTGGGCGGTGAGTCATTTGCGGCCGCGGTTATTGGTGGTAGCCAGAGCCACAAAAGGACCGCTTCAACTGAGGGAATTGCTTGGGTCTGTCCCGAAAAGACTGACACTCAGATGGGCGATCTGATCCCTGAGGATAGACCTGCTGGAAAGCACCCCCCTGCGAATAGACACGGAAACATTGTTTCCTATAGAATGGAGAAGACCTCCTGTCAGCATGTCGAGTTGATGAAGGAAGAATTTTTCACTTATCCCGTGTTTCAATAAGAAGTGGTTCAAGAGATTCTCCAAAGAGATTTTCTCCAGTGTATGGAGCTGCAGCTAGGTGCCATTTTGCCTTGAGGTCTGCTGGCCACTGGCGAAGCCATAGTAACCTGCGGGCTGATACTGCAGACACCAGAGCTCTGGATGCGTAGGTAGCATCAGCAGAAAATTGGGTAGTTGCAATAATTTTGTTAATATCTTGATGGAGGCGAGCCTCGCTTGGGGCTACCCAGACCTGCAATTGCTGAAGCCACAGAAGTGTGGTGCGGTTGAAAAAGGAGACAGAGGACACTGCTTGAATAGCCCAGGCTGCAGCTTGATGGTTCTTCTTAAATAAAAGGTCAAATTTTTTCTCCTCTGGACGGAGACCCTTTGTGGTATCCCCGGTAACATAAGAGGAAGAGGAGAAGAGAGCTGCAACAGGGCTGTCTACTGGGGGAACCTGCAACAATTGGGCGAACTTGGGTGCTGCAGAGTAATACTTCCTATCTGCCCCGTTCACTGAAGAGACAGCTGCAGGACTTGACCATTGTTTTTGCACACATCTATAAATAATTGTGGAGCCGGAATAAAGCACTGCTCAGAAAAAAGACCTTGTGGTTGGCCTTGTTGAGCTTCCTGAATTTTCCTGAGGGTGTCATCCTCCTTTAGAGCAGCAGTGATTCATGCCTTATGAAGTAAGGACTTGAATCTGTTTGGGGGGAAAAGCTCTGTAAAGGCAGGTGTGTCTGGGATAACCCCCTCATCATCTGAAAAATCAGAATGATGTTCCTCTTCAAAGGCAAAAATCTCACTGCCTCTGGAAGCATCAGGTGAATGGGAACCAGTCAACCTGGCAGAGGGAGGGCCCTGAACCTGAGCAGACTGCTCTGAAACTACTGATCCAGGATGACCCTAGAAGACAGTTGTCATGCAAGAGGCAGTGGCCTGGTCAATATGAAGTTGCAAACCTTCTGGTAAGTCCTTAAAAGGGTCATCTGAAGGTCTGTCTGGTAAAGGAGACTCTCTTACAGAGGCTTCCCCTGCTAAGACCCTGCCAGCTTCAGGAGTTGCAGATGTAGCTAACTGACAAGCAAAGGGATTCTGAGTTGGACCCTGCTCTCCATGAGTCAGCAATGCTGGGCCTATGTAGGTTCCTCCTTCCCCTTCTGGGGACCAAGCCTGATTTGGGGATGGTGCAGTGTCTGATGAGAAGGAGTACTGGGATGGGAACAGACCTCCTTGGCAGCCAAATTTAAAGCAGCTTTGGAGACTTGCTTTTCTAAAGACTTGTGTCTTCATTCAAGATCTTTTGCTTCTGCCTTAGAAATATGTTTACGTTAGCCTTTTTCCCAGTGGAAGTCCCAGCTCCCTCCCTGTGGGAAGAGCACTCCGCCATTTTGAATCTGTACTCACTGCGACCAAGATGGTGACTGGAGGAAGATGAGTTTCACTTTCGCTACGTGATGGGTTAAACGGCGGTGGCTATGCCAGTGAAAAACCGGGCTAGCCAGCACACACATGAGCAGGGCGGATGCTGCTCAAGGGGCAGCTTGTCTAGGTAGGAACCTTAGATCTTGCCAGCTCCCAGCGCCAACGGTCACAGTCAAGTGAATACAAGACCGATGGGCCTCCACAATGCCACGTGGAGGGTGTAGAAAAATTCATGCACCACTCCGCTTTTAAATGCTCTGTTGGTGGTGTAGCAGGAAAATGAGGCCAAACTGTTTCCAGGCCTCTTCTCTGCTCTTGTTGGTGGCAGAGCGGCAAAAAGTCACTTTAAAATTGCCGTGGCGCTTCAAAGAGCCGCCCCGCAGCTGATCGGTGGTAAAAAGAGCTGCAGGCAGCTGCTGCCCAAAAATGCAAGCCTGGAGCTTCTGACAGGCTTCGCTGCCTAAAATAGTTGGTGGTATAGCCTCTGGGGGATGCCGCTGCCCCGTTGGTGGTATAGGAGCTCGAGGAAGCCCCCTAGAAAGGAGAATTGCTGCAGTGAAAAAATCTCCCAAAATGGCAGCCGCCTGGAGCGAAGGAACAATCTGGTAGACCAGGATGCTCCAAAATGAACGGGTAGACCGGTAGGCTCAGAAAATAGCTAAAGAAGCCTGGGAAACCAGTACCCTTGCAAAAACTAACAAATTATTTTGGTCAAAAAACTCACAGTGACTCTGAAGAATCGAACAGACATGGGCTGAGCACCAGATCTTCTGGAGGTGTTTCTCTCAGGCTGACTGAGTCGAAACTGAGCCTGAAAGGGAGGAGCGAGGAGCATGGTCAAAAAACTATGACGGAGTCTCTAGGCAATTCCGACTGAAGCAACCCATGTTTGGATGATGCCATAGCCATCACTGGAGAATCCAGGATCTATGACTCCCATGCACTGAAATTAGTCAAGTTCTAGCCACTTCAATGCTGCCATGCTTCTAAGGATATGAATTAAGGATATTATATCCCATGAACCACTAGAAAACTCGTCTTAATCTTTTCTTATTAAAATAAAAAAAAAACGTCTGAAATTGTTATCAAATCTTCTGCAATGATTGTCTTTTGAAGAGAAGTTTGGATCTTTAAAAATGTCAACACACAAACTGTCCATGCACCAAAGCTGGCATACTTCTCACCACTGTGGAAGATCTCCCAACCTTCTGGAGGTATTGGAGGGTGAGGAGAGGAGAATACACGGTGATTGACCTCCATTTCCAACACCTTAGAACAGTAGAGCACTGCATTAGGCTATCTAGTGACAGATGTTATGCATTTATAGTCATTTTTTTACCTTTCAATGTGCAGTTCACACAAAATCAAGTATACAGTTATGCAATTACTAGACAGTGTTTTATTGCAACCTTTATCAGATGGCATTTCTGGTCATTTAGGAATCTATCACTTAAGATTCCTACAGCTAGATCTGTTCCTAAATCTGTAAGTAATGATGCCACATGCAAGTATGAAGCCATCCAGAACAATCACCAGGACAGTTTTCACTATATATTATCTTGCCTCCGGTGGAAACAGAGCAGTTAGTTGTGAAAGTGTACGTTGTAAAACCAGAAACAACTATAGGTATTCCCTATCTAGATCACTGTTTCTACATTCTTTCTCTAGAAATGAATAAACATTAGAAATTCAACATTAGCCTATGCAAAGCGATTCTTACAAAATAAGAGTGTGATTGATTGATTTATTAGATTTTTTTATCCCGCCTTTATTACTTTGAAAATACTCAAAAGTGGAAGGTATATCAATACTCCTTCCTCCTCCTATTTCCCCCATAACAACAATCCTGTAAGATGGCTTGGGCTGAGAGAGTGACTAGCCCCACGTCACCCAGCTAGCTTTCATATATAAGATGGGGCTCAGTCTCTTGATTTCTAAGCCAGCACCTTAACCACTACACAAAATTGACTCTCATAGACCTCAATCCCTCATGGGTGAGCCATTCAAATGTAATATAAGCACAAAATTCCAAGCAATCTGATATGAAAAACAAGATATTTGTATGCTACATCTGTGAAAGGTTCTCAAACTATAATCAAATATCTTCCCCTCACTACTCATAAGCTTTTAGATGATGATGAGTAATAGGTAAAATACTTTTGAAATGGGATTAATTAAAGCCACAGATTATATACATCTCCTAGACATATACTAGGATTTATTTAGATAATGCATATTTGAGAGTTGAAAATCCATACATTAATCTCCAGTGCCATGTAAACACACCTAAGTCAGTGTTGGATCATAGCCAGCATCAAATACTGGGCATGGGATGAGCTGTCTCAGTATGAAAAAATTGCAGTGGTCTAAGAACTTTAAATTCAGTGTATGTCTCATATTAACTATGTGATTATATTAACTTGATTTGTGCATGTCCCAGAAGATGACTGTATACATAATATTTTTATTTATTTGAAAATGTGATTATCTGAATAGAGTGTTGCACAACCTACAGACTACATAAGGAAAATACCACCATCCAATATTAATACAAAATAAGACTATAACAATCGTCATTATCCATTTACAACAAGCGAACAACAGAAGACACGCAAAGCATCCATAACTCCTTAAGTCTAATATTCAAAGGAGTTGCTAGCATTCATAGCAAATCTAAAAGAGCTGAGTGGCGCAGTGGTTAGGTGCAGTACTGCAGCTACTTCAGCTGACTGCTAGTTCAGCAGATCAGCGGATCAAATCTCACCAGCTCAAGGTTGACTCAGCCTTCCATCCTTCCGACGTGGGTAAAATGAGCACCCAGATTGTTGGGGGCAATATGCTATTTAGTATACTGTCTTAGGTGTAAGCCGCCCAGAGTCCTCGGAGATTGGGCGGCATAGAAATATGAATAATAAAATAAATCTACAAAACTGGCTTCAAGTCTTCAAATAGGTTTGTTACTGCAAGTGCTTAATAAAATCTGCTCAGAAACCAGCTCTTTGCATCAATGTATGACAAGCTCAAAAGTGAGGCAATTCTGATATGTTGTTTTATTAGCTCCTATATATGCAAGCTGCCAGGCAACACAATTGGTTGCTAATTTAGAGGTTAGA